AATTGATTTATTTTGATTTAAATAGATAAAAAATCAAAATAAATAATAAAAATAATAAAATAATAGGTGGATAAGCTCAGGGGTCGTGGGCCATATTAGGAACAAGTTTCAAACAAGAAAACATGGGCCCATTTGGAAAAATAGTCATTTTGATCAATGTTGACTTCATGCACATTTTCAAAAATTAGTCAACTTTGACAATACATATCTCCCTCAATTTTAATACTAAGAAGGTGTTCCTGGGATTTTTATAAATCTTAGGATGTCCTATAAACAAACCTTTTGATCTCATCTCAATTGGATCTTCCATGTTCATGTAAGGAGCTTTGACCCAAAAGGTGTTTTTGTTAACTTTTTGAAATGACCTATAATGTCTGAATTCATATCTTTTCATGAGTGCATTTTTTGAACTTGAGGGCTGATGATGAGTTATAGGGAATTAAATCCTCTTCAAAATGAGCCTTGGATGGGAATTTTTTTATAAAATATGAGAAAGTTATGTTTGGTCAAAGTTTGGTTGACTTTTCCTATATAAACCCTAATTTAGCAACTTTTGAGTTTTTATGAATTTGGGGAATTCCTTGAGGAATCATGATCAACCCTTGATGTTGACCAAAAATCTTGAAGTGTGACTGCATGAGGGTCACAGTTGATTGAGAAAACTTGTTGTGCAAGGCATGAAAATTGACATGGGTGATCTTGAGAACATATTAGGGAAATGGAGACCAATTTGGACCCTTGGAACTCAAACATCTTGATGAAAATGGAAACCCTAATTTGAGGCTCACAGTCTTAGGAGGAGGATTTGTCTGGTCAATCCTTAGGCATCCTTGCGCAAGTTGAGGACCTCTAGGAGCATGTTTTGAATAAAATGAGAGAGAAAATTTTGGGGTACAACAGTAGGGATACCCTTAGCAAAGACCCTCAGTTAAAGTCATCATAAAGATCATAGTCCCTCAATGTCTCTCGAGTTGCCTACGAGAAATGATATTGTCCCTCGATGTTGCCTATGAATATATGATGACAGTCCCTTCGAACTGCTAAGGTATCCCTACATGTTGTCTTTAATGACAATAACGATGAACCTACACTTGTCCCTCAAACATCCAAAGATAGGGCTACCTACTCACTAATAGTAGGATATCACTATCTAAATGTTGGGAGGAAAAGAACGACCTTTTCGAGTATAAGTAGATAAATTCTTAGATGCTTGCTCAAAACAACTTTTTGCACCTACACAAAAACATTTCAAAACACTTTCAAAAACATTTGTCTTGTCAACACTCTTAAGGACTGATACAAGAGTTATCACAAAGCGAATTGCCGCACTAAGGCATTTTCAAAACAATTTTCAAAACACATAAAGCACAAGAAATTTTCAAAACATGAGCCAAGCATATAAGAGCCCGTAGAAAACTACAGGTGGAAAGGATTCTAACACCTTCCCTTTCCATAATCTACCCCCTTACTCAGAAAACTCTCGAAAAGATCTTTTTCTGTTATTTTCACCCTTTCCTTTATTAGATAAAATAAAAGTCGGCGGCGACTCTTGCTTACCGCAACATTTGCGAATGAAAAACACAAAACCAGTATAATAGTCGGTTCTGCCACCGTATCACAATATGTTTATGAAGTTGGTAAAGATTTTGACTCTGAACACGAATCTAATGGTGACTTGAATCTGAATAAGATTCAAAAGGTGAAGATGATTCTGACTCTAACTCCGATGGTGACTCAGACTCTGGGAATTTTCCAGACTCCAAAGACAATCATAGTTCTGGAAAAAGTCCAATTTCTGAAGCAAGAGCTTCTGAAGGGGAAAGTTCTGGTGTCCGAGTTTCTGAAGTTCAAGTTCAGAGGCAACAAAGAGTTAGAAAACCCCAAGAATATTTGCAGAGTTTGACATGCTACAAGGCACTGAAGTAGACTCTGAAGGAGAAGTTATTCAGTGTGTAATGTTAGTAGACTCTAAACCCGTGAGTACAAAAGAGGCTCTTCAGCAGCAAGTCTAGTTGCAAGTCATGAAAGAAGAACTTGATGCTATAGAGAAAAAAAGACTTGGAAGCTGACAGAACTCCCAAAAGGCAAGAAAGTCATCAGCGTCAGATGGGTTTTCAAGCAGAAGCTAAAGACAGATGGATCAATTGAAAAACACAAAGCAAGATTAGTAGCAAGAGATTTTCTACAGAAGCATGGTCTGGATTACTCTGAAGTGTTTGCATTTGTAGTGAGACGTGAAACAATCAGACTAGTGATTGCAATAGTTGCTAACAAGAATTGACCTCTAATGCATTTAGATGTAAAATCTGCATTTTTGAATGGTCCATTACAAGAATAGGTATACGTGTCACAACCTCTTGGATTTAAGAAAAAGAATCAGGAAGGGATGTTGTTCTGATTACATAAAGCCTTGTATGGATTGAAGCAAGCGCCCAGAGCCTGAAATTTGAAGATTGATTCATTTTTCAAGGAACAAGAGTTTCAGAAGTGTGAGATGAAGTATGGTGTTTATGTCCAACACACTTCAGAAAGTCTGATTCTGGTTTGTTTGTATGTTGATGACATATTGCTAACAGGAAGTTCTGAACAAGAGATAGCTAAGTTCAAGAAGGTTCTCATGAATGAGTTTGAGATGACATATCTTGGGAAAATGAGTTACTTTCTAGGGATCAAGTTTATGTATTCTGAGAAAGGAATCATTTTGAATCAGATGAAGTCTGAACTTGAGCTTCTGAAAAGATTTAAGCTGGAGAATTGTAAAACTGTTATCACACTTGCTGATACGAATCAAAAGTTGGACTCTGATTCTGATGGAGAGGATGTGGATGCTACAACCTTCAAACATTTAGTTGGTTCTCTGAGGTATTTGTGTAATATCAGACCTGATATTTGCTATGCAGTTGGAATGGTTAGCAAGTTTATGAGTAAACTAAAGTGATCTCATTAACAAGCTGCTGTCAGGATTCTGAGACATGTGAAGGGAACTCTGAAGTATGGAGTGTTATTTCCTTCTGGAAGAAAGACCGAATCAGAATTTCTGAGTTATTCAGGCTCTGATTGGTGTGGAGACAGAGTTGACAGAAGAAGTACTTATGGGTACTTATTCAAATTTTTGGAAGGTCATATTTCTTGGTGTTCCAAGAAGCAACACGTTGTTGCGTTGTCGACATGTGAAGCTGAATATATTGCAGACGTTCTGACTGCATGCCAAGCTGTGTGGATTCTGAACTTGCTGTAGGATATGAAGATCGAGGTAAATCAGCCTCTGAAGTTGATGATTGATAACAAGTCTGCAATCAATCTTGCCAACAATCTAGTGTTGCATGGGAGAAGCTAGCATATTGAGACCAGGTATCACTTTCTGAGGAATCAGGTCCAGAGTGGAATATTAGAAATTGTGCATTGTAGCACCCAGAAGCAGCTGACGGACGTTCTAACAAAGACTATCAAGACTGATCAATTTTTTCATTTGAAGGATAGAATTGATGTTGTCAGTTTTGTGTAAATATAAATTAAGAGATGGTGTTGGAAATAATTTATATTTTAGGAATGTTTTGTTGACTAAGTCTGTTAGAGAGTATTTTAGTATTTTATTATACCATAATATTTGTGTATAAATAGCCTAGCAGTATGTAGATCAATACATTCATTACTCTTTATTTTGTAACCGTCATTTAATATATTTTTTTTGTCTTTCATCTCTCCTTTGTGCATCAACACTTCACAATACACTTTAGTCATTATGTATGATTGTCCATGCAGAATTGTTTTTTGCAATAACCATAATGCTTCGTGGATTGAACTCTATGATGCGAAACGATTTTACTCTGATATTGTGTTTCATAATAACATTCTTTTATGCTTTGGATGAAGATGGATCTATTGAAGCATGGATTTTCTTCATCAGAAGGTTCCGAAAAGATTTTGGAAGTTAATTATCCAACCTTGATTTTAGACAAGGAACAAGAGATAAAATTTTGAGTTGATAAGTTTTCAACTAAACTTTATTTGGCAATACCTAAAAGAGATTTCTTGTTGATAGAAAGATTCATTAATAATTTTGTTGATGCTAATGGTGAAGTAGTTTATGAAGGAAACTGTCTATAAGATCAGGTTGAAATTTGTCCTTATAGAACAAAACATTTTAATGTTTACAAACTTAACTTGGTGAAGAGAAAGTGGGAAAAGATGGATTCTTTAGCTGGTCAAGTTGTGTTTGTAGGTGCTAATGAATCAAAATTAGTGGATTTCTCATACTGTGATAAAAAAGGAAATTTATTTTACTTTAGTGATGACAGATGAGATGAATTTAGACTATTTTATACGGTGGACATGATTGGGGTGTTCTCGATCTTCAAAATTCAAGTGTTAAGCTCTTACCTCCTTATGCAAATAAGATGGATCCACCACCTATTTATATTCCAATTAACTTGTATTACCGGTGATTCAACTCTCCAACTATAATTTTTCAAGTGAATATTATTTTAGTATCTACTTGTTATAGTCACTTTTATTCTAGTTTCTGTTTTATTTGCACAATTGATTATCAATTTATTTATTTTTCAAATAATTTAGTAGTTAGAATCTCACACATTAAATTTGAAGTGGAAAATATTGAATTGGTATTTGCGCTTGGATTTATCAATTGAGTTGTACTATGGAAAAGAATTAACTATCATTCTAACACAATATATTTATTATAAGGGAAATAAAGGGACTAATTATATTCCCTGTCAATTTTATTATAAGGGATTAATTATCATGTTGTTTAACATGATAAACGTAACCGAATTGTTATACAATTTGGTCAAGCTAAATTGTATATAGTATCAAAGTCTCATAAATATATCTTTCTCCAAATAATGTTGGTGGTAATTCTTTCTCAAACTGTTTCCAATCAAGAGTTGACATCACTTTACATAAAGTATTAGGTATAAGAATTAATGGAGAAACACCAAGACACAAAACAATTCACACTTTTATTTTGTTTGTAGGTCAAATTAAACTCGACTTGAATCCCTCCCAAATACGAATCTTCTAGTCCAATCCGACACGACCAAATACCGTGTGCGCCAGCTCACTTGCTTGCTGCAAGTCGAACAACACAGCAAATGTTTTGTATCTATAATATGGTTAACAAAGAAGAAAACAAGCAAAGTGTGTTTTGCATCATAAACAATACCTTGCATATACCGAATACCATAGCCATTGAGTGCTGTGACCAATGGAAACCCAGTCTCCAGGAAGTTCTGCTGCTGCTTGCTCCCCACCCAGTGGAGCAAATTGCCCAAAATGCTTATACCTTTTCATAGTAACATGATATCATCATAAATTCAGAAATACCGAAAACAATATAAGCATTATGAAGCACATGGTTTACCGGAAGGGAAGAAACCGATGATGTCCAGATTCTGTAAACCGTCGAGGTCCTTCTGGATGCTCTTTTAATTCATCATTGCGGTTAAAGCAACTAGCTAGATATGCACCTTGTTGCGCAGCAACCTACATATACTGATATGATAAAAACTTCTATCGCGTGACACTTTGACAGGAAACTCTGCATAAGGAAGCATTCTGTTACTGACGAAATGATGCATACCTGTGCAGTTGCTGGAAGAGTCTTCACTTGTGAATCTGCCACAGAAAGGGCAAGCTTAAACCCTTCTATGTCTATTTCTTTTCTTTCATTTCCATCTGCGTCGTTCCACAGAACCCTCAAATCAAGTATATGTTTCTTCTGTAGATAGTATTCAACTTGAGGATATCTTAAGATTATGTCATCCATCACTTCTTTGAATTCTTCTACAGTTAAGGTACCCGAGTTATTTTTGTCTGCCGCCTTAAATATGTCCAAGACGTCATCCTAGAAGCAGAAATAATAAGTTAATCATCACAGAAATAAATTCAATACTGATCTACAAAAATGTTAAATATAGCAATTAAATAAGCTCTATTAAACTATTTGAAAATAATTTAATGACTGGCAAAATGAGCTTAATTTTTTCATCAGATCCCAAGCAGGATGGTCGTATCCGTATGAAATTCGAAAAGGATGCACCAGCACCATGGTGTATTAAATAAGCTTAGAAGTCTGAAGTTAAAGGCTTAAGAGGTACCATGATTTTACGTTGCTTTATTGATGAGCAATCACCAATGGCGAACACATCTTCACATCCGTTTACTCTCAACCATTCGTCAGTTGCTAGTACGTGCCTTTTAGTCTGCACACAGATCAATTCAAGCATTTCTATAAATTACCCATATCATAACTAATTGTGATTTTCAGCCAACAGAAAATAATCATTTACATAGAACTAGCATAATACTAAAGTACTAGTTATCTTCCCAATCCCCATATCACGAACACAAATGAAGTGAAGAAGAACGGATGGGAAAAATGTGTTTCTCGAATGCATGGAATAAAACAGCACCTGACCAATTTCTTCCATGAAGTTCTTTATAACTGGAAGAGTAGAAATGCCGGTGGACCAGACAATCAATCCATGAGGCACAGAGCAAACCTCTCCTGTTGATTTCACCTTCATTGTAATTTCCTTGTCATTAACACTCAAAACCCGGCATCCAGTTTGAACTTCTATACCGTCTCTCGTAAACTTCTGCTCAGCAAATGAACTAATTCTTTCATCAAACCTACGAGATTGAAGACGATATTTTCACTGAATTGTGAGTTTTACTAAGGCAATGTTCATTTTAGATTTTAAAAGCATCAGAAAATAATTGACACATTTAAAATCTCCCTCACATGTTCAAAATGTGATCTCCGGATTGAATTAACGTTATCTTCACTTTATCTTTAACGGTTGGATATAATTTGGTCAAATCTTCTTGGATAAAATCATGAAGCTCTGCAGCAAATTCAACACCAGTTGGACCACCTCCAACGATTACAAAATGAAGATTTGACCTTTGCTCCTCTTCAGATTGACTGGGAAGAACAGCCTTCTCAAGACAATCTATTACAGACAGTCTGATCTTCTGAGCGTCCTCTACATCCTATAAGTGATGATATCAAACATTTTTGATTAGTTGCGGAAAATATAGACTTTTAATGATTATACACAACAAATAAGCTTACCTTCAGAAAATGACAATTCTCCTTGACACCCGGGGTATTGAATGTATTTACTTGTGCTCCTACCGATACAACCAAGAAGTCATAGTCTAGAGAAAATTCACCACTTCCCACTAAGTTTTCAATATTAGACAGACAAAAAACCTTTTTGCCTGCAGCATCAATCTTGACGCATTCTGCCTCCCAAAATTTTATTTCTCCTTTTCTCTGCAATAAACTCCATTATCAAAAAATAAAAGGAGGAAACCTCGGATATAATCACTAGTTGAACATCTCAAGACACATAACAAAGTCACTCCTCACTCTAATGATCATGTTTTGAATTAAGGATCAAAGAACACTTTATTTTTCATTTACATTAACAGTATATAAGTAATTAATTTTTAAAAAAACCATATACAATATAAATTCTTGGAACTCTTGTTTAGTTTGTTCCACCTTTTTAATGATGTTTCGGACGGGTTCCACGATGCTCCGAGCTTCAACTGTCCCACAAGTGACACTTGGCAATAAGGGAGTAAATGCAAAGTAGTTGCGAGGCGAAACAACCTGAACATCATATAATGATGCATCCAAACCCTTGAGGAAACTGGTAGCAGCCCATCCAGTTCCAAGGACAACAACTTTCTTTTTGCGGGGTTCATGATTTTCAATATTAGGACGTTCAGCTTCTGATTGTGATTCTGAGAGTGCCACCACACCTCCACCGCTGTCATTTCCAAGAGCAAGTAGATTCAACCAAATAGAAAGAATTGTTAAACACAGCATATGTACAGGCGAGAAGCAAACTTGCATTAGTGTATGTATTCACAATGAAATGATAACTGATGGTAACTTAAGGAATGAATAAAGATTGGGGGATTTGAATAGATTAGGATAGAAAGAGTCGTCTCTGATTTAGAATATTCCTGGATATAACTGCAGCAAAAATTGTTTAAGGATGAGGACCATAATCTTAATATGGGAGTGAAAGATAGAAAAAGAAAAGAGAGAAGGTAAATAAGGCAAACAACTGGTTCAACCGTTAATGTTGCTAACTAACAGCAAAGTCTTTTCTTAAATACAAAATGATGAACTACTGCTTGTAATCTTGCAGATGATCTATAAATATAGAAAATATTATTGATTGAATTGAATGAGAGAAAAGAAAGAACCTAATAGTACAGAGAAGAAGAAAACTGGAGGAGAAAGGATGAGTGGTGAGAGCTCTGGAGGCTGTGATGAAGAAGGAACCAATCGTCATGTTGACCCAAACACCAACCGCTCCCACTTCTCTGCTTGATTTTTAGATCCCAACTGAGTTTATTGATTCATTTTCAACTACTAGTGTTATCACATTCATGGATGATGATAGTAAAAAAAAAAAAAACACATGGATTGACACGTGTATGTTAGTTAGTCCATGTTTAATTATTAAAAGTCCAACTGTAAGTGCATTCATTAATAAAATATAGAAATATAATTTTTGTTGCAGATAAAAGACAAAAGAAATATATTGAATAACGGCTATAAAATAAGGAATAATAAATTACATTGACTTATCTATTACTAGACTATTTATACACAAAATTAGGATATAATAAAATACTAAAATAGTCTATAACAAACTTAATCAATAAGATATTCTTAAAATATAAATTAATTTCAATACTTTCTCTTAATTTATATTTACACAAAAATGACAACACAAATTTCATCCATCAAACGAAGAAATTGATCAGTCTTGATAGTCTTTGTCAGAACGTCTGTCAGCTGCTTCTGGGTGTTCTAGTGCACAACTTCTAATATTCCACTCTGAACCTGATTCCTCAGAAAGTGATATTTGGTCTCAATATGTTTGCTTCTCTCATGTAGCACTGGGTTCTTGGCAAGATTGATTGCAGACTTTTGCCGTATCCCAAATTTACCCTACCTTGATGATTATATTTTCAAGATTTTAAAGACGGAAGAAATGTTTAATTAAGGATGCTCTAGCAATATCTGTTGGCCCACTTTTTAAGAAGAATTCAAATCAACAAGAATAGTGTATTTTAATTCAGAAAAATGGGGCTTTTTAAATCAGAAAGACTCATAAATACATTCGCAGAGTATGTTGGCCAATGGCCCATGCGATTCGAAAATGAAAATTATTCAAATAACTATTAAGTCCTTAATTCTTAAAGCCAACTTAAGTTTAAGTTGTTATTAGTTGAAATTAAATTTATTAAAGCCATTTAGAGATTATTGGTGTTAGTAAAGAAAGGGGGTGTGAAATTTAAATTAAAGCCCATTAAGATTCTTTTAAATTAGTCCATTTGTCATTTTAGTTTAGAAAAGATTGGTATGAAAATATTTTTTGTTGTTATAGTAAATTTACTAAAACAAAAAAAAAAATCTTTTAGAAAAATACTTGGTTATTAGACGTTTTTATTAAGAGTTTTGCTTAAAAAAAATTGGATGAATTGATTTATTAAAGCCAATTTGTTAGGCCCAATTAACGTTTTTTATTTTTTGTTTTTTCAAAAATATTATTATTAAAACAATTTTTGTTTATTAGATATTGAATTTTAAAATTATTTATTAAAAATTATTTGAAAAAAACTGTTTTGAAGGGTCAAATATTGGGCCCAGTTTGTAATGAAAATTATTGCTGGGGTGAATACAAGTGATGCGCATGCCCAAAGTGTTATCTAAACACCTACTTTATCAATTAAGTCAAGGATTATGCACGTTTTCCTCCATTTACGTTTATTGTAGAAGTTAAATTAAACATAATCAATTCGGTTTAATCAGTCAAAGCCCGAAATTTTCTGTTACAACTCAAACCTAAAAAACAAAAAAACAATCAAATCTTAAATCTAAAAACGCAATACAGAAAAAGGGTTGAATCGAATAAAATCTGCAAATTCAATCTATATTACAAACCAGATCCCAAATCTACAGTAAACAAAATCAATCAACAAATAATTTCAAATCAATTAACAGAAATCACGATCCCTAATTGAAGTTAATTCCTAAATCTAAGATTACAACATTGAAACAAAATCCTAAGAACAAACCCTGTAAATACATAAATATATTAAGAGAAGAGATGGAGGCTGGAAATCGAAGAAGAGACGAACATACAGAAAACAGCAAGGGGAGAATTTGGATTACAGAAGAAAATAAAGGGAGAACAGAAAAAACTTGAAGTACCAACAAAGACGATGGGTTTCAATATCTGAAACCCTAATCACTGTTGCCGATTGCCTCACCCTCCATCGTCGTCAAGCCGTCTTTGAAGCCATCAACACCGTCGAGCATCGCGGAGCCTGCAAATCAAAAAGGGAGAGGAGATTAGCGTCAGAAACCAAATTGCTCGAAAACTCAGACTACGAAATTGCACAAGGGGGTAAACAACTCAGCTTCTTTTTTTGTTTGTTTGTTCTGTTATTGTTGTGGGTTTGTTGGGTTGGAGAGGGATTCAGTGAGGTGCCTCCGCAGTTGTCTCTAGGGTTAGAAAGAAGAAGACGAAGGTTTAGGGAGAAGAGATACTGTAAGGTAAAGAAGAAAATGAATAAAGAAATGGAAAAAACAATAATTATATTACATAGCGATTCTGCGTACACACGCCCATAATAATTAACATACTCCCTCACTTTTATCCGTACAATCATGATCAGACGGTCGTAGACCAAGTCCTACCATAATTAACATACTCCCTCGCATACACAATCAGTCCATCCCCTTTCTCACATCACGTTTGGGCCAAGCCCGTTAATTTCGCCACCCCTTCTGCCCATATTTCTGAAACAAGAACAATTGTACACCCCCCTTTCAGAGTTGCGTTTGGGCCAACCTGGTCTGCTTTTAAGGCACTATTGTATCCTAAATTTTGCCCCTAATTTTTTCAGTCGCACTTTCATATCATATTTTGTCATTTAGTCACAATCATTAACAAATAGCTTCATTCATCACATTTGCATCATATCTTTAAGTTTGCTCTTGTGTTGTTGACTAACTTCTAATCAAAATACAAAAAAAAATTTGTCTTTGTCTTTGTATATTTGTGTTTTGTAGGTGCCGAGTCAAAGCATCTGACAAATAGGGTTTTTCAGTATTATTTTCCTAAAATCTCTATTTGCAAAGAAAAATAATTTAAATTTTTTTATTTTATTTCACTGTACAATAGATTACTCTTAGAATGCAATCGATTGCACAAAGTGCATTTTATGCAATATTTGGAGAAAAAAAACTTATTGTACAATCGATTGCTCCCAGATTGCAATCGATTATACAGAGTGAAATTTTGAAAAAATCAGCAATTTCAAGTTTGTCAATTTTGGCTCCAATTTTTCTCCATTTTTGAAAGATATATTATTAATTTAAATTTTGGCTCCAATTTTCTTCATTTTTGAAAGATATATCATTAATTCAAATTTTGGCTCCAAGAATTAATTACCAAACCACCACTAATCCCAAGCCTAAACTCTATAAATAAAACCCTCATTTCATTCAAATCTCAAGCTTTTGAGAGCCAAGCACATGTTGTTAAAAAATCTCTCAATTCTCTCCATCTACCAAATTCACTCAAAGCTCCATTTTCAAAGAAAGTTAGTAAGCTTTTCATTGAAGCTTACTAATCTTTGAGCTAAACCTTCACCCAAACACTTTTTCTTCATCAATTCTCTACATCCAAGTTTGGGCAATTGATTCTTGGGGCTGAATTGAAGCAAATTCTTGAAGTTGTTTTGATAATTCTCTAGATCTACCTTTGGTAAGTTGGATTTTTTATCTTTCACAGTATGATCTCTTGCTGATCTTTGGGTGTGATTCATTGAGCATTATTTTGTGATTCCATTGGTGCTATTTTCTCATAATTTGATGGAATTTTCGTGCTCAATTGAATCTATGATCATAAGGTGTTTGATGGAAATTTTGAACAAGAATTTGACCTTTTGAAATGTTTTTTTTACATAGTGCAATCAATTGCTGTAACAACGCAATCGATTGTCACATAGAGAAATTCAAATTTTTTTTGAAAAAATGCATTGATGCATGGATTGCATAAGTAGTGCAATTGATTGCAACAAAACAAAAATGCTTTTTCTGCCTTGTTTTGGGGCTGTTTTGATCCATCTATCTTTTTTTACTCACTCCTTTTGATTGTTGATTTGGATTGCAATTTTAAATATCCAAATTCTCTTTAAATTCAATGGACTTTGGGTGTATATGAAGTTGGATAAATATTCATCAATTCAAATCTGCCAAAGAGTGAATTATTCAATTCATTTTTGGTGCTTTGGATTAATGATATGTTTAGTACTTTAATCCATCTAGATGAGTGAAAGAATTTAAAGATGAAAGAAATTTGAGGTAGTGATCCAAATTAGCTTATCATTCCCTCCCTCTTCATCTTATCTCTTACTTTTTATTTGTGATACATGTTAAGGGATAATGATCTCTATATCATTTATCCAAATATGAAGTACATAGATTGTTATTGACCAGCCTTAAAATAGGTGTGACTTCTACATAAGTCCACTTACGATTGCTTAACATAGCGTTGAATTTTGTCCCGATTTGAGAAAATGATCGTTTGTGGCCCAAACCTATATTTTCAAGCCCAAGTATGTTAATTTGAATTCTTTGATCCAATAACCTTGAGATTCATTGTTAGGAGGCTTTGGTTCTATCAATCCTCCAATGGATCTTCATCAATTTTGGTCAACGCGGATCACTTAAACATCATTGATCATTAAATGTTGCCTTGAGGATTCTTAAATGAATGATATACTTGATAAAAAGCAAATGCAACTTGTTGTTGAGAGGCTTTGTTTCTACCAATCCTCTAATAAGTTCCAAATGCAAGTTTCAAGATGGTTATCCAACTAACTATTAAATTATAACAATTTACTTTACTTCATGCTTTTATTTTTATGCTTTTACTTTATGTACCATTTACTTTAGCATTTACATTTCATGCTATTTTTATCTTTGCTCACTTGAGCATTTACTTTTATGCCATTTTTATTTTGATCACTTGAGCTTTTCTTATCCTTTTAAAGATACTTAATAATCAACATGAACCATAAAAAACATTAATGATACTTGGACTATTTGGTTACTATCCTTGGCATTATGGAGTATTGGACTTCTTGGACTTAGGATTAGAAACTTTGGCTTGTGTTGGAGACCTTGTGACCTTAATTAATATTTTGTCTGGAGTTCTTAGGGTTCACCCCAAGACATTGGGTTGCTTGTTTTTTGTGTGCAGGTTATTAT